CACATGCTCTCCTCTGCATCTTCCCATCATCCACCCCTCACTCAGGCCCTCCTGTGTGGCTGTGCTGGGGGAGGGGGCTGGTTGGGAGGAAGGGGTTGGCGGTTTTTTTGGGTAGGGGCCGCTGGTGTAGGTTCAAGGGGCTCCCCCCCCCCCCCCAGGTGGGCGAGCTTGGCTGAGCAACACTTAGCCTCCCCAAGCTTCTGCTTTCTTCTCTGTAAGTGGGAATAACGGCAATGGATCCTATCGCTGGCTCTGCGTCCACTCAGCTCTCTGGTTCTTAGACCCAGATCCAACTGTTGCCTCCTCTGCCTGCCTGCAGGTGTCTGCAGCTGTGCAGGGGGACTGATTGGCTGAAGACCTGCACTGGAGAGCTTCGGACGCCGTAACAGTGAACGGTGAGGGACTCTTGGGGTCTGAACTTATGTCTCCAAAGGGGATCAGTGACCAGTGACAGGATGGGAGCACAGGGAGATGCCAGCACAGCTGTCCCCTGAGTTTTGGAAGCATGGTTGGAACCAAGTTCACAGCACCATGCATCTCTCCTTCATTGCACTTAGCACTGCTGCGATTTTCCCATCATTTGAGGGATTTTTGATGAATACTTGTCTTGCCCACTAGACTGCAGGAAAGGGAAGGTCCCAAAGGGACAGAAAACATGGTTTTCAAGAGGACAGGCTCTGGAGCATGGGTTTAAACCACAGTCCTGCCTTTTCCTAGCTGGAGCAAGTGACCTTGGGCAAGTGACTTAAGCTCTCTGTGCCTCAGTTTTCTCATCTGTAAGACAGAGTTTGTAACCTATCTACCTCTTTGGGTTGGATTTAAGAGAGTTTACATATGTCAAGCCCTTACAATAGTGTCTGGCATGTAGGAGGTGCCAGAAGGGTGTTTGTTAAATAAATAAAATAGCAAAGCAGGAAACAATGGCCTTGCTCAGGGCCAAGGAAGATATCGCTGGTTTTGCTGGGTGTTGGTCAACCTCTTAAAGCCAGTTCCAATCACTTAGGTTCCCCTAATGACCCCTGTCTTCCCTTGCAGAGAATGGAGGACGAGGATTACAACATCTCTGCCTATGATGGCGAATACTCTGACGGTTTCGACTCCATCATGGTTTTGGAGGAATTCCCTCCTCTGGAAGCCAGGGTAGCCAGGATCTTCCTGGTGGTGGTCTACAGCATTGTCTGTTTCCTCGGAATCCTGGGCAATGGCCTGGTGATCATCATTGCCACCTTCAAGATGAAGAAGACGGTGAACACTGTATGGTTCCTCAACCTAGCTGTGGCAGACTTCCTGTTCAATGTCTTCCTCCCAATCCACATTGCCTACGCCGCCATGGACTACCACTGGATTTTTGGGACGGCCATGTGCAAGATCAGCAACTTCCTGCTCATCCATAACATGTACACCAGCGTCTTCCTGCTGACCATCATCAGCTTCGACCGCTGCGTGTCTGTGCTGCTCCCTGTCTGGTCCCAGAACCACCGCAGTGTCCGGCTGGCCTACACTGCCTGTGTGGTTATCTGGGTCTTGGCTTTCTTCTTGAGTTCCCCATCCCTCATCTTCCGGGACACGGCCAATCTGCATGGGAAAACATCCTGCTTCAATAACTTCAGTCTGTCCTCGGCCAGCTCTTCCCCGTGGCCTGCTTACCCCCAGATGGATGATGTGGGGTACAGCCGGCACATGCTGGTGACCATCACCCGTTTCCTCTGTGGCTTCCTGGTCCCGGTCTTCATTATCACAGCCTGCTACCTCACCATCGTCTGCAAGCTGCGGCGCAACCGCCTGACCAAGACCAAGAAGCCCTTCAAGATCATCCTGACCATCATCATCACCTTCTTCCTCTGCTGGTGCCCTTACCACTCACTCTACCTCCTGGAGCTCCACCACACTGCCATGCCTGGCTCCGTCTTCAGCCTGGGGTTGCCCCTGGCCACTGCCATTGCCATTGCCAACAGCTGCATGAACCCCATTCTGTACGTCTTCATGGGTCAGGACTTCAAGAAGTTCAAAGTGGCCCTCGTCTCCCGCCTGGTCAATGCCCTGAGTGAGGACACGGGCCACTCCTCCTACCCCAGCCACAGGAGCTTTACCAAGATGTCTTCGATAAATGAGAGGACTTTGATGAATGAGAGAGAGACCAGCATGCTTTGAGCCTTGTTGGGGAAACCCCCAACGGACAGTCCCAGCCCAGGGAGACCCAAGGATGTCTTCTGAAGACCAAGGCGAGAACCTCTTCATTGCACCCACCAATACCCATTGCATTTTGCACAGGGATGAACAGTGTTTCAAGCTGAGAATCCAGGCCCTGGAAACCCTCTCTCCAAGTGGGATGGTGAACAGAGCCTGCTGTGTTGCTCACAGCCTCAGGCCAGCAAGCCATGCTTCTTGGGAGACCAGACCTGACCAACTCAAAGCAAAAACAGAAGAATTCTCAAAAGCACTGCCATGAACTATATCAGAATTAGGCAATGGGATTAAGCTACCTACTGAGCATACACCAGAAATGACACAAACACTCAAAAGGCACACTCCTGGTGTGAGCAGGGGACATCAGAGCAAACATACTGTGATGCAGATTACACCTTGCCCCATATACCCAGATCAACAGCTGGCCAGAAAATCCCACCCCTCAAGTCATTCCTCTGGGCCAAGGCATGTGGAAATGCACAGGTGACCTGGGAGAAGAGGGTGACATATCAGCCCAGGAACTCCCAAGATCATGGATTTGGCTTCAGATCAGCTGGGAGGACAGAGAACAGGTCCCGAGGGGCATGTGAGCTCTTTGCAAGCACAAGACAAGCGGGGGCTGCAAAGAGGACTTGGAGCCCAAGGAAGGGAGTGGAGAAGGGAGAGCAAAGCCCTTCAAAGGACATGGGCATGATGCAGCTCTCCTTAGGACACCAAGGGTGACGGTGCTTTAGGCTATAGTTATTTTGGTGTGTGGGTGGTGCTTGTGTTAGTTACCAGGGGTGGGGTCCTGGTGGGCAGCTTCACCAGCAGCCCCCACCCCATCACAGGGATTCCTTCCTCCTTCCCTAATCTACTCAGCTCTGGCTGGAGGTGCTTAGAATAAAACACATGGGAGGTGGGGAGGGGTATGGAAGGGATGGGGCTTCTCCTTCTTGCCAGTTTCCTCAAAGCCTTGCTGGAGACTGGTCCAAAATGCAGTTTCAGGAAATAACTGCCGTGTCTCCTGGGAAGAAGAGTGTGTCCCACGGCTGGGTCACTGAACTTGAAGCAGGTCTGGAGCCTGACTGCTTGAACTGCGCTACTGCCACGTGGACACCAAACACCTGCATGCAGCCACATTGTGTGGCTTTTCTCATCTAATACTGACACCTTCCTGTGGCAGAGAGTGTCATTGTCTTGTTTACGAATGACAAAACCCAGGCACAGAGGAGGGAAGTAACTCGCCCAATATCACACAGCTTCTCAGTGGCAGAGTTAAGATCTGAATCCTGCTCTGTCTGGCTCCAGAGACTGTATTCTTTTACTGAGAATTTATCTATCAAGAATATTCTAGACTATAATGATAACCTGCATTTATTTAGCACTTTTTTTGTTAAGCACTTTACGTGTGTTATCTCATTTATTCCTCACAGGAACCTGAGTTAGGTACAATTATTACTTTCCTTCTACATATGAGGAATCGGAGGCTCAGAGAGGTTTAGTAACTGCCAGAGCCTGGATTTGAACCTCAGTCTGTCTGGCTCAAATGAGGCTGTTGAGTCAGGAACAAACTAGGGAGGTTAGAGTTTTGACCATAAGTATTAATAATGTACGGCCTTTAAGAAGCTTCAGTTTTCAAAAATGACCCAGTATGACAAAGGAAATACACTGGCCTCCAGCTCCCTTGACACTCATCAACAAACCTTCATACACTGTGGCTCCCACTTCCTGTACCCCCTGAGACCTCTGGCAGGGGGCAGCCTTTTGTGTGCCCAAGGCCTTTGGTCCCTACGTGTCCACATGCTGTTCTCTTCCAAGTCCCCTCATTGTTAAGCCAATTCTTCAACAAGATTCAATGCGCAGATGTAATGTCTCCTCTGAGCTGGGCAAGTTCCCGAGGCCGCGGGCTGTTTGGAATCACACTTCATTAAGAGACAAACTGTTCTTGACGAGTCTTGATGCTTATGATAAGGCAGCTCTGAAGTACCCCAAGTTGGGGCCTCCGATTGCTTTAAGGAGTCTGAACTTGGAAAGTTTGAGAGCAAAAGGGGAGCTTTAAATGCTGCCAAGTGTCCCCTGTCATCCGCCTCCCCGAGTTGACAGATGAAGCAACCGAGGCACAAGATGGCATGGGATTTGTTGCAGGTCACAGAGATAGTTATCTGCGACTTGGGCCGCCTGGATCCCAGGACAGTGCCCTTCCTGGGTTGTGGGCAGGCCAGGCCGGGTTGGGGGAGCCAGGAATTCATGTTGTCATTGAAAAAGCTGACCAACAGGAGCAAAATTCAGACCAGCTGGTTTCCTCCTTAGAGTCAGGCCTCCCTCTTTCTGGAACTGACTTCCCCTAGGCTTCCTGTTCTGACCTTAGTTTCCTGTGGAGTACTTAAAGTGCCGCCACGACATCTCCTTCAGTCTTGTCCCTGCCGCTGCTTATGAGCATCTCCGCAGGTCACAGGTATATAGTCCCTGCAGTTTGCAAAGTGTGCTCTCCTGCGTCACTCCACAGGCAGCCAACAGCCTCAGTGCCCCAGAGCCTTCTCTCTGGGCTCAGGACCCAGCAACCAGGCCTTACGCTGCCTCCTGGGTGGGGTGGGTGGACCGAGGGGTCACGGGGACAAGAGGCGGAGGGACAAGAAGAGAAGAGGGTGTTTGAGGCGGGGGAGAGAGAGGAAGGGGAAACAGGAAATGGAGCACGAAGATGAAGGAAAGGGATCTGGCATTAATTAAGCATCTACCATGTGTCAGGCATAAACATCAAAACTTCAACTTGGCCCTGGGGGAGGAGGACCAGTATACCCATGTGGGCGATGCAGAAACTGAGAATTAAAGAGCAGACTTCACTGTTCAGAGTCACACAACTAGTAAGTGATGGAGCTGGGCTTTGAACCAGGTCTGTTGCCTGAGCTCCCAACTTCTTCAGTCCTTGGAAGGAAGCGAGGAGTGGGGTGGAGAGGGAGGAAGGAAAGAGAAAAGAGAGGGAAGAATTGGATTTCAGAATCATCTCCAGCTGACCCCTGAGCCAGCAAGGATGGGGAGAGGGAAAAGCAGGAATATGAAGGACCTCAGGTAACTGGATGTATTTGGCCAGGCTTGTCAAGCTCTGTTGGGAGCCACAGCTAGATAATTCCTAAGGTACACAGAGCTCCTGCAAGCTCTAGGGCTCCCTCTCTAGAGAGGAGAAACAGAGATTCTGAGGTTCAAAAGGGGCGATGGACCCAGGCACTGGCCAAGGGAGAAGTGTGGCTCAAAACTGATCCCAGAGTCAGCTCTGGGGGGATTAGGAGCCAGGATGGGTGGAAGAAGGTAGAATGGAATAGTGACAGCCATGAGGCACCTTCAGACTCATCTTGGCCAGGCCTCTCCCATTTTACAGATGAGGGAACTGAGGTTGCTAGAGCTGCCTTTTGAGGAATCTGCAAAAGGAGGTGGTGTTTGGCTTGGATGGAAGTGGTCAGTGATTCCTCAGCTCTTGTTCTAGCCTCCTGCCCCCCATCTCTCCCTAATATGTTATGCTCTTGCTGGATCCAGGGTTTGGCCACACAGCTGCTCAGGCTGTCCCTTCCACCTGCAGCACCTCCTCCCACACCTGCCTCTGGTTGCCAAACCCTGGATTTGGAGAATTGCTGCTGGGGGAGCAGTACCCAAGAGTGGGGAGGCCTCAGAACACTACCTCTCCTACTGTGAAATAATTCAGCAGGGGCCTGCTTGCTTCCTGCCTTTGAGGACAAAATTTCTTTTGAGTAAGGAGACAGAAGCAAGAGTGTGGGGCTCCATTCTGGAAGTTCCTGCTGCAACCTCCTTCTTGCCTTCCCCATCCACCTCACAGAATAGGAACTGAGGCTCAGAGAGGTGAAGTCACCTGTCCAAAGTCACAGAGCAATGTTGTGAGACAGCAGGGGAGCCCTGAAATTCTCAACCTACATTCCTAAAGTTGTGGACTTCAAGAAATCTGCATCTTGAAAAAATTTCCCTCCACTTATTTTATTTTCCTAGCCACCAAGGATACAAGAGGGGTAGTGACTCACCCAAGATAACACAGCAAGCCATGGCAGATAGGGGACATAAACCCAGGCTTCCTTTCTCCCAAGGCCATGCTCTTGGCACTGCATCAGGCCACCCAAGGACAAATGCTGCCATCTACACATTTATCCATCTACTCAACTACCCATCCATTCATTTATGCAACCATCTATATATCCATTCCATAAAAATGTGCAGTCATCTCTCTGTATCTAGGACACCCCCTGGATACCAAAATCTGTGAATGCTCAGGTTCCTGATGTAAAATGGTATAGTATTTGCACATAACCTATGCACATCCTCCTGTATACTTTAAATCATGTAGATTATTTATAATACCTGTATAGTATAAATGCTATGCAATAGTCGTTATACTCTACTGTTTACAGAATAATGACAAGAAAAAAAAGTCTGTATATGTTCAGTACACATGCAACCGTCCATTTTTTTTTGAGCATTTTCAATCCACAGTTGGTTGAATCCACAGATATGGAACCCGTGGATAGGGAGGACCAATAGTGTTTAGTACTTACCCTTTGCCCAGCCCTGTGGTAGGCACTGGGGATACAGGGATGATCAAGACATACACAGTCTCTGTCCTCATGGGCTCCGAATCCACAGATATGGAACCCGTGGATAGGGAGGACCAAAAGTGTTTAGTACTTACCCTTTGCCCAGCCCGGTGGTAGGCACTGGGGATACAGGGATGATCAAGACATACACAGTCTCTGTCCTCATGGGCTCATTCATTGGCTAGTGGGAGAGATAGCTGATAATCAAAAGAAAGAAAATGCACCCCCCAATGGAAAACAACCACAGTCAGGGCCATGTGCACATTATAGAGGGACTTGACTCTGTTCAAAGACCAAGGAGACTTCCCTGGGGAGAAGACACTGGGTTGAGTGTGGAGGATGGGGGGACTTGACTTGGGGGACACGTGTGGGAGGAGGTGCTGCAGGTGGAGGGAACAGCCTGAGCAGCTGGTTGGCATGGGAGGGGCAGTGACTATAGGGACTGAGAGGGGATGGGGCCGTAGTGAGATAGTGGGGTGAGCATGGGACCAGAGGGAGCTGTAGAGGAGGGCAGGGGGAAGCCCCATGCAGGGAAGTGACATGCTCAGACCTGCATATTAAAAACGATTTAAAACGTTATTATTAACGATTTAAAATGATGCCACTGGCTGCTTTGTGGAGGACAGACTGGAGAGGGGCAGACAGGGAAGCTGGGAGGCTGTTGCAACCTCAGATGAGCCCCGATGGTGCTTGGACTGGGGAAGCAAAGGTAGAGCTCGAGAGAAGTGAACTGTGTGAGAGATATTGGAAAG